AGAGGCAGTACCAAAGGCTAGGGACCTAATCAATACAGACATTGGTAATATGTCAGATCTAGAGTTCAGAATGACAATTCTCAAGGTTCTAGCCGGGCTCGAAAAAGGCATGGAAGATATTAGAGAAACCCTCTCGGGAGATATAAAAGCCCTTTCTGGAGAAATAAAAGAACTAAAATCTAATCAAGTTGAAATTAAAAAAGCTATTAATGAGGTGCAATCAAAAATGGAGGCTCTCACTGCTAGGATAAATGAGGCAGAAGAAAGAATTAGCGATATAGAAGACCAAATGACAGAGAATAAAGAAGCTGAGCAAAAGAGGGACAAACAGCTACTGGACCACGAGGGCAGAATTCGAGAGATAAGTGACACCATAAGACGAAACAACATTAGAATAATTGGGATTCCAGAAGAAGAAGAAAGAGAGAGGGGAACAGAAGGTATATTGGAGAGAATTATTGGAGAGAATTTCCCCAATATGGCAAAGGGAAAAAAGCATCAAAATCCAGGAGGTTCAGAGAACCCCCCTCAAAATCAATAAGAATAGGTCCACACCCCGTCACCTAATAGTCAAATTTACAAGTCTTAGTGACAAAGAGAAAATCCTGAAAGCAGCCCGGGAAAAGAAGTCTGTAACATACAATGGTAAAAATATCAGAGGGGAAGATGAACCATGAGAGACTATGAACTCCGGGAAACAAACTGAGGGTTTCAGAGGGGAGGGGATGGGGGGATGGGTTAGCCCGGTGATGGGTATGAAGGAGGGCACGTACTGCATGGAGCACTGTTATACGTAAACAATGAATCATGGAAAACTACATCTAAAGCTAACGAAGTGCTGTTTGGTGACTAACATTAAGAAAAGAAAAAAAAAGAAATAGAAGTTATTTTATTTCAAAAATGTAAATATGGATGTGAAGGCATCATGCTCCCTGATTTCAAACTTTATTACAAAGCTATAGTAACTAAAACAGTATGGAATTGGCATAAAAACAGACAACATAGATCAACAGAACAAAACAGAAAGCCCAGAAATAAACCCTTGCATTTATGATCCATGAATTTACAACAAAGGAGGCAAGAATATGCAGTGGGGAAAAGACAGTCTCTTCAATAAATGGTGTTGGGAAAACTGAAGAACCACATGGAAAAGAATGAAACTAGACCACTATCTTACACCATACACAAAAATTAACTCAAAATGGATTAAAAACTTGAATATAAGACCAGAAGCTATGAAACTCCTAGAAGAAAACATAGGCAATAAACTTCCTGACGTCACTCTTGGCTATATTTTTTTTAGATCTGACTCCAATGGCAACGGCAATAAAAACCAAAATAAACAAATGAAATTGTATCAAACTAAAAAGCTTCTGTACAGCAAAGGAAACCATCAACAAAATAAAAAGGCAACGTACTGAATGGGAGAAGATATTCACAAATCACTAATCTGGTAAAGGGTTAAATATCCAAATTATAAAAAGAACTATATAACTCAATCTAATTTAAAATCTAATTTAAAAATGGGCAGAGAACCTAAACAGATACTTTTCTAAAGACATACAGACGGCCCACAGGCACATGAAAAGATGCTCTCAACATCAGTAACTACCAGAGAGATGTATCTCAAAACCATGAGATATATCATCTCACATCTGTCAGGATGGCTATTAACAAAAAGATAAGAAATAACAAATATTGGTGAGGATGTAGAGAAAAGGGAACTATTGTGTACTATTGTGAATATAAATTGGTGCAGCCATAATGGAAGACAGTATGGCGGTCCCTCAAAAAACTAAAAACGTAACTACCATGTGGCCCAGCAAGTCTACTTCCAGGTATTTATCTGAAGAAGATGAAAGCACTAATTCAAAAAGGCATATGCACCCCTATGTTCACTGCAGCATTATTCACAATAGCCAAAACAAGGAAACAACCAAAGTGCCCATTGATGGATGACCAGATACAGAAGACGTACACAACTCCCCTCCACCCTGACACACACACAAAAGGATATGAGTTCAGCCAAGAAAAAGAATGGAATCTTGCGATCTGTGACATGGATGGACCCTGTGGTATTACGCTAAGTGAAATAAGTCAGAGAAAGACAAATGTATGATTTCACTTATATGTAGAATCTAAAACACAAAAGAAGAAACAACAAAACTCAGATCAGATAACAGATTGGTGGTTGCCAGAGCGCAGGGGAGCAGGGAGGGTGGGCAAGACAGAAAAAGGGGTCATAAAATAAGTCACGTCATGGGATGTAATGTTCAACATGGGGACTACAGTCAATAACACCGAGTTGCATGTTACTTTAATTTTATATGGTGACGGGGGAAAACTAGACTCATTGTGGTGATCATTTTGTAGTGTATATAAATATCAAGTCATTGTGTTGTACACCTGAAGCCAATACAATGTTATATGTCACCTACACCTCAACAACAAATAGGGATGTGATACTAAATGTTAATCCCTGAAAAGATTAGTTTAGCAAGTGCATGACAGACTCAATCAACCACATATTAATAATCACTGCCCAAGGCCTTTCAAGTTAAAGAAAGCTGTCAGGCTGACGGAAGAGGAGGCGGAATGCTTTAGATAACATGAAAGATTAAGACAAGGCTATTGGAAAGTGACTAAATTCCCTGCACCAAGGAAAATCAATCCAAGGAGCTAAGGTACAGAGATAAAGACAGTATAATTTGACCTAGAGTTAACTGCAACTTAAGTCAACATAATGCCGTATACGTGGGCATTATACATATTTTCATTATGTTCTAGTGACAAGAATTCAGAAAAAGTGATGGGTTGTGCCATAGTAAGACTAATAAAAGCATCACCTCTTAATCTGACTCTGATTTTTACATTTGTGACCTGTCTCATTAATGATAAAAGTACAAAAACAGTTCACATTCATTTTGCTGTTATCAAGAAGACTGGTTGGTTAAGATTCAAAGGAACTGCTGGTATGTGAATTCAATGAAACTATAATTATCTTCACAGGGAAACCACTGAAAACGCAGAAATACAAACACGGATCTTAAAAATATCTTTAAAAACTAAGAGCTAAAAGGCAAGATTGATTCCATTCGTAAGACGATTATGAGAAAGCAATATATATAATTGGCCTTCAAAGAATAAGGGGCCTCTGTTTCTAGCTAATGAGATTTCATTTAAAATTGTTAACTGGGAGTAATGAAAGCAGCACAGGAACCAATACCAACAGCAAATATTCAGTTTTTCTGAGGAGTATGATAAGAATTTGTCCTTCTTACACTGATATAAAGAACTCTGAAAAATCATACAGTAACAAAGCCAAACCTAGATCCTATAATATTAAAATAATAAACAGGATATAATACACTAAACAAAAACTCAGAAACCAATTAAAATAAATTAAAAATAAGAAATACATTTACATTGAAATAAATGATAAGCATAGGATATCCTGAGTTTTCTTTATAAATTTATAAAAAGAACACAAAAAGTAATATCCATCTGAAAGGCTGTCATAATGATTAAATAACATACATAAAATTCATAAGAGTGTATGGTACACAGTAAAAGCTTAAAAAATGGCAGCTATCATTATTATAACCAGAAAGAAGAATAACTTCATTAATATGAGCTTTCAAACTGGACTCATCACCACCTCCTCCCTGCTTCCCCTTCATTTTGAGCACACGAATATGATCACTATTAGCCAGTTAGATAGCTTTTGGCCAGATCGTGACCAGATCTCACTTGGAAACCAAGATGACGGAAAAAGTAAGAGTACTGGAGGAGACACTGGCTAGCAAAAAACATTCTGACATTATTTACAGGCAGTACTCATAAGGTGAGGGCTCACTCACAGTGACACGAAGGTAAGGAGTCAAAGAAAATCAAGGCAATTTAGAAGTCTTAAAGATGAAAGGAAATTGCTGTGACATGAAGTCCTCATGAAAAGTAAAAATATTTCCAGAGAGAGCTATAAGATTCTTTGCTAGATCCATTTTGATTTAATTTGAAAACAATTTAAGACTCATCATCTTTTCGCCTGCCAACTAAGAGTAAGTATACTTATTTTCATCTCAGTTTATCTCTAGGAGGATCTTGATTTCTTTTTCTCTGTTTTATGAAGCATTTAATTCCTTTCTGATCCCACTATGGAATTTATATTTTAATGATTCTTTTTTCCCCACTAAAGTCAGGGATCATTCCCTGTACTCAACTAACCCTAAAAATAAAGTGACAAAAAAGGAAAAGAAAGCTACTTCAAGTCTGGGAGCATATTCTTGGGAAGGACATTTAAGGCTACATGTAGTAAAGGGTAAAGCATGAGGAAGATCCCACAGGGGAAGGTGCAAATTAAAGGCTACATGTACTGGCAGAACAGAGCTCCTAAAGGACAGTGGATGAAAATGTAATCAAATGGCTTCTCTTCTCTACTCCTTAATAGAAGTGCAGTCTGTGACTGAGCAATCTCTTAACAAAGGTTCTGAAAGTTTCCAGGTGGCTTATTAACAGATTTACCTATTTATTCCCAAGTTTAGAATTTGCTTCTTTTCAGACATTCCAAGAGTCAAACTGAGAAAATTTCTATTTCTCAGGAAAACATTAATAAATAAGAGCTTGGATTTTATTGCCTTTGCCCACTCTACTGACACTGTTCTTTCCTTCTTTAAAAACAACCCAAATATACCCCTCCCTGAACTATGTATTGATCTTAGTGAAATAAAGGAACTCTTTTTGAATTTTCCTGTAAAGTGGCTCATAAAAATAGGCCTAGAGACAGTGACTTAAAACCATACAAACCCAGATCTCCAATCCCATCAGTTTCTCCATCCTATAAGCACACTTAAGGCTCGAAAAGAAAAATTAATGCCCAAATAGCTGGTGAAGCGCATAGACACAGAAACATTTTCTATCCTGGTCATACCAGCTATCACATAAGATACTGTTGAAGTCTTCAACTTACCATTCACTTAGAAAGGGTTCTATCCTTTTAATGGCTTCTTTGTCAAGTAAGCAAAGAAACTATGTTATTTTGTTTGCCTGGAAGCTCACATCTGTTCCACTGAAATGCAAATATCTTGGATCCCTACTAAAGAGTGTGGATGTCCACATAAATGATATCTCTGTTACAGAGAAAGAAGCGGCTGCTGCACTTGCTGGAATGTCTTCGGCTTTGTATCAGATGCTCCTGTTTGGTTACAACCAGGCTTCCAGTCTGCCCAATGCCAAACTTCATGCTTTAGCAAGGGGAGAAAAGTCTAGATGCCAGAAACACACCAGACCTCTCAGATAAAGGGGTAGAAGCATGCTTCCACTGGACTAAGATTGGTCCTCTTTGTTAGCACCAAACTCTCATTATTTAGTTCTTCACAGACTAAATTACAGCTTCTCTCAGAGAAGAGGACCTAGATAATGAAAAGGAATTAAAGTAGATATTAAGGTAGAAATTCCAAGGCCAAATATCCCAAGGTCAGGCAAAGCAGCATCTGAGGCCAAAACAAGAAAGTGGTGGAATTCAATGGGCAGCACTCTGGGATACTTGGGCTTCCCCAGTCTTTGTCTGGCCTCACGGCCCTACCTGTACCCCAATCATGGGCACCACCTCCTCAATCCACAACAAGTCCAGTGGAGCTGAGGGTCGAGTTTGTCGGTGGTGAATTCGGCGCAGACGCAGAAGGTACAGGATGATGGCCAATAGCACCACCAGGATGCAGGCAAAGAAGAGATAGTGGTTGTAGACAAAGGAGAGGCGGAACCAGCTGCCATGGGCCTGCCGGACACCTTCTTGCCGTAGATCCCTAGGAAGAGTAGGAAGGTGGAAAGTCATGTTAATTTCAAAGAGAGACAGCTATGCTGATTTAAAAGGCCAGTGGGGGGCACCTGGGTGGCTCAGTGGGTTAAATAAAGCCTCTGCCTTCGTTCGGCTCAGGTCATGGTCCCAGGGTTCTGGGATCGAGCCCCACATCAGGCTCTCTGCTCAGCAGGAAACCTGCTTCCTCCTCTCTCTCTGCCTGCCTCTCTGCCTACTTGCGATCTCTATCTGTCAAATAAATAAATAAAATCTTAAAAAAAAAAAAACAAAACTTTAAAAGGCCAGTGGTATCCCACTTTATGCTCTTCGTGTAAGTATGCCAGGATACTAGCTCCACAGAGCAAGCAAAGCTAAAGAATGTCTCCAGCCTGAGGACTGCTGTGTGGTTCCTCCTGCACTTTTCTTTGCCAGGACCTACAGGAGGAGGGAGCATCAAAGGCCTACATCCTCCGGGATCTGGGGAAAAAATTAGAAGGCAAAAAAAATGAATAGTAAGAGAAGTCAGAGAGGCAGGCAGAGAGAGAGAGAGAGAGGAGGAAGCAGGCTCCCTGCTGAGCAGAGAGCCCAACGCAGGGCTCGATCCCAGGGCCCTGAGATCATGACCTGAGCCAAAGGCAGAGGCTTAACCCACTGAGCCACCCAGGCGCCCCTCTATAACCTTAGTCTCAACAGTGACCCCATACCATTCCCTAAACACATGCATCCAGTTTGTAAATACGGTACTAACAAGAACAGGGCGGCCCCTAAGTTCAATCAAGACATCAGAATGCATCTAAATCTTTAAAACAAAGTTGACTGTGCTTCCTGAGGGGTTAGGTTCTGTCTAGAGAAAGCTGTCACCTGGTCAGTAGTACTGTAGTCTGGAAAAAAGTAAGGAGACCTGTAAGCCAAAGGGCAGCAGACTGTGTACTTAAGAACCGAAGCCGCCCTTTAGTCTAGACACCAGGTCAATTTTTGTTTTGTTTGACCTGCAGTGTTTTTTTAAAATGTCAATCTCCAAACTGAAAAGCCTGCCTGTAAAATGTGGACTTCTGGCTTGTCCTGACAGATGAGAAATGGCAGATGCTGGGACAGCTATGCATGGCAGTCATCAGCCCTCCATCTGGATAACATACTCTCTAGCTCCCCACTTCTCTCACCCCTCTCTGCCACCTGCCTTCTGAGGTTAGAGAAATAGGCAGCAAAGATTAAAAATTCATTTTAGTTTATCTGAAATAATCCAGAGGAAAGAGAACCTAAAAATTATCCCATATATCTTAAGGTACATAGAGCAAGACATCAGATGATCACGGCTTGATGACAGTGCCCCCTGAAGCGCTTCTCATGTGCTTTGTTCTCATTCTGGCCCACCAAAAAGCCTTCTAAGTCAATGACATGATCTCTAGAGTGACTCTACCCATTAGGAAAGACTGCCCTACACACACAGACTTACTCAGTTCTCTAGTCCAATGTTTTCTGTAGCAACTGAAGAATGGCATTTTAGTTGATCACTTGCTATCTTAGAACTGGCTAAATAACAGCTCAATTCTAAAGACTGATTTATTATGGATAAACAAATAAAACTGAATTCCTGAAACTGAAAAGCTAAAGAATAGACTGTGGATTAAATTTTCAACCTTCTTTCTGTTTCAATATGCCTGGGTAGTAATAATAGTTCACAGTGTAGTATAATAATAAAGGGAGTTAGTTTGGATGCTTTTTTGAGGGAGAGAGGTCACTTACAAAACCTATTCTGAGACACCAACCAACATCCTCTGATCTCAAGATGCCAGTTCAGTCCACTTTACCTGAGTGGTAAGAATCGTGTTTTATACAGAATGGCTCCCAGTGTCCACTGAACCTCTCGGTCATACACCAGCTGGGCTGTCTGCAGGTGCGGGTAGTCATAGGGAAAATGGAATCCTTCATGAAGGACTTGGTACATCCAAGCCGATTTAAAACACTGGTATCTGTGTGACAAAAAAATATTTTTCTTGAAGAAGAAGGAAAAAAAGAATTCTAATGCTTTCTACATCCTTCCACTGGATGTCAAAAAAAGACCTTTCTCTCTCCATTTCACCTTCCTCGCCTCTAGGTGGAGCCAAACCTGAGCCTACTTTATCTTGATGTTTACCACAAAGGCGAAGAATGCCTATGCAGTAATGATATTGTGACTGTGATTTTTTCTTTCTTTTTATTTTTTTAAGAGAGCGAGAGAGGGTGGTGGAGAGGCAGATGGAGAAGAGAGAGAAGCTCAAGCAGGCTCCGTGCCCAGCACCCGACGGGGGGGCTCAGTCTCACAACCCTGAAATCACAACCTTAGCCATGATCAAGAGTCAGATGCTTAACTGACTGAGCCACTCAGGTGCCCCCTTTTTCTTTTTGAGTCCTTATCTTCAAGGAGCCTGCTGAAGTATCTACAAGTCTACTTATATCATATCTGGGATTTGCTTCCAAAAAAAAAAAAAAATCCCAACTGTTTTAAGAGGGGAGTAGAAGGGTGGGAAAATAGATGCAACAAGATTGGGCAGAAGTTGGTAACTGTTGGTAGAGAAGCAGGGTGACAGGCACAAGGGAGTTCATGATACTGTTCTATTTTTGTTTATGTTCAAGATATTTTACACATGTTTACAAAAATGGGAGGGCCGATGAGCCAAACTGGCAAAATACTGGCATTTGTTGAAATGGATGAGGTTTATATTACTTTTCTTTCTACCTTTCTGCATGTTCCATATTTTAATTAAAAAACCCCACTACTTTTGATTTCAAGCCACTCATCGAGAACCTTTTAGTGACCCTGGTTTTCAGTGACTTCGCTAAACTAGGCTCACTGTTTTGGCCCCTATTGCTCAGGAAACCAAATAAAAAAAACAAAACAAAATTCTCCTTCAACATAAAATCCCATCTGTACTCTTACTTATGCTCTCCCTCATTATAATCTGCCATCTACACTTTCAGGCCACATCTAAGAGAAAAAAGGAAGCTACTTACTTGAGTCGATGTTCATCTGCGTGAGATGAAAAGAGGCCATTCTTGAATCTCTGGGTTAGTACTGACCAGGCCATGCCACAGTAATCCTGGAACAACCACAGAGGAATGGTGTGATGTGAAATTAAAGCTAAACTCTGTAACTTCCCTACACTCACAGCTGCTCCATGTCTAAAGTTACTCGTGGGCTACTAGATGACAAAGAATAACAGAAGCGCCATCTTCATTCACAGGACACTGTGCAAAACAAGTGCCAAAACCCAGGCTGCTGTGGGTCTCCTTTCTATTCCCCTCACCTCAGGTCCAATACAGAGATAGCCTGACACTGCTCCTGCTCTTCAGCTTCAGACAGGGGAAGGGGAGGACCAGGAAGAGCAACATCAAAGCCAAAGGGAGCCTCATTCTGCCCTGTGTCAGTCTAACACATCAGACTAAAGTAGATGGTACAGAATGGTCAAAATTCTACCATTGGCCTGACTCCATGTTGTAGTTCTCCTCAAAGGAATCATTCCTTTGATTCCTTTTGCTCTGATTAGTAAACTAATATTTCCTGAATGTCTACTTTGTGCCGGGTGCTATTCTAGGTGCCAAGGAGATCTAGCATTGAACAAAACAGAAAAAACTTTCTGTCCTCATGAAGCTTACCTTCTAGTGGTGAGACAGCAACCAAATACATACATATACATGCAAGCATACATACAACATGCACATACACGTACGTACAGAGTGTTAGATGACGTAAGTGCTCACAGGAAAATTAAAGCAGGAAAGGGAAACAGGTAATATTGGGAAGGGCTGCAGTTCTGGACATGATTGCTAGGGAAGGAATAACTGGGAAAGTAACGGTTGAGTCAAAGTGAAAAAGAGAGAGAGAACAAAATTATCTCTTTTACCTGGGAAAGAGAACATATTAAGCCACTAGCAACTTGGGCAAGCAATAACTTGAGCCCTTTGGTGTTCAAGGGAATAGAATCTGAAGAAGTTTTAAAATGAGAGAAAGATGCGGGCCATGGACATTTAGGGAGCCCTGGATGCTGGAAAGGAAAAGGAATATGAGTGTATTCCTGGAGGCTGGAGAAGAAAGAACAAATACAAACCAGGTTTTCCACAATATTTCTCTCTTTAAAAAAAAAAAAAATTCTGTTTATTTATTTGGGAGACAGAGAGCATGTTGGGGTGGGGCAGAGGGAGAGGGAGAAAGAGACTCCCCTGATAAGCAGGAAACCCAATGTGGGGCTTCGTTCCAGGACCCTAGAATCCAGGACCCTAGACCTGAGCTGAAGGCAGATGCTTAACCAACTGAGCCACCCAGGCGTCCCCCCTCAATATTTCTTAAGGACTGCCTTTAGGGAACAGAATACTACACATACTACAGATTTTTTTTAAAAGATTTATTTATTTATTTATTTATTTCAGAGAGAGAGAGAGAGAGAGAGAGAGAGAGAAAGCACAAGTGGGAGGGGCGGGGGGGAGGGAGAGAGAATCTCAGGACTCCGTGCTGAGCACAGAGCCTGACTCAGGGCTTGATCTCACCACCCAGAGATCAGGACCTGAGCTGAAACCAAGAGTTGGATGCTTAACTGACTGCCACCCAGGCACCCCACAGATATTATTAAATTGCAAGTCTTCTATCCAGAGAACCCTAGAGAACTGTAACAAAGCAGAAAGGAAAGAATAAAAAATGTAAGGAAGGACAGATTATTCCAGATCAGAAAGATAAGCAAAACTTCAGAAATGAATCTAAATTAAAGGAGATTGGGCGCCTGTGTGGCTCAGCTGTTGAACATCACACTCTTGGTTTCGGCTCAGGTCATGATCTCAGGGTCATGAGATCAAGCCCCGCACTGGGCTCTGTGTTCATTGTGGAGTATGTTTGAGATTCTCTCCTTCTTCCTCCCCCTCTGCCCTTCCCCCAACTGTGCATGCACACATGCTCTCTCTCTCAAAGAAATAAAATCTTAAAAAAAAATTAAAGGAGCTTACCTGCTCACTCTAAAATAAATAAGACTTTTTTTAAAAAGGAGGAGCTACAGAAAGCTAGCTAAACTTTTACCTATTCAGGTAACAATGATTTCAGCTTACAAGCGGCTAATGTCCTAGACATGGTCTAAACGAATTTTTATTTCTTCTGCATTTTAGTTTTAAATAATACTTCCACTGACATTGCTTTTCCCAACATCTTTCTAATATTCCAAGTGACCCTGTATACCATTCTGGCCTCCTAATGACTCCTACCAAGAAAATGAAAGTACACTTGCCCACCTGTGTGACATCATTTCCAAAAGCCCATTACAACCGAGAATACCCAGTAAGGGGAAAAATATCTGGGCATGACACTTTTGGCCACAAACATTAAACAAGATTATTAGAAAACTAAAAGAAAAACTGTTAGCCACCACAACAATTTTGGACTTGGATGATAATTTGGGTGATCACGACATGCATGGAAATCCAAGCTTAACGAACTAGAAGAGAGTCCAGCATAACAGGTTCCTTAACTCCTGAGTCTACTTTCTCATCTATAAAATGAGGGCCCATAGGGCCCCTAGAAGAATCCAGTGAGATCAGGCATGCAGAGCTCTTTGCACATCTGGCATAAAGTTAGGCACCCAATCAATGGCTGTAGCTGGCACAAGTCATCTTTTTTATAAGTAATTTACCTGGGCAGCCTTGGCAAATGTTGGCCCATGATAGCGGCCACCGATGCGTAACACATCCTCTGTACAGTAAAAAAACTCAGAGAAACCGTAAAATTCACTGTTGTTGAAGTCAATTGGTGACTGGTAGATGCCATTCAGCGAGGCCTGGCTGGTGTTGGAGCGAGCCAGCAGGGGGCTCAGCATCGCCCCGCAAGACGCCCAGTCTCCCCTTCCTCGGATGTGCAGCACCTGGCTGTTCCTCTCCACCACATCTGTGAGGCCCACGGGCAGGCAGGGATCCAGAAATGGACTGTCCGGACTCAGACCGATCTTCTGGCCCAGCAACCTGTCACAATGACAAAAACACACAGGACACATCACTTATGTACACAATCTCTTCTAAGAAACGCTTAGTTTAAGAAATTTGGCCTAAGAATGCGCTTCACAGATTATCTTGTTGTTTCAAATGGCATCCCTAGAAACAAGAGTGGAGTTTTAGCAGCAGTCATAACACATCAAAATTTACCATAAGCAAATTCAATTTAGTGGAAGAAAGGATGGAAGGATGGATGGATGGATGGAGGCAGGCAAGGGAGAGGGAGAGAAATATGGCAGTGATCAAATTTTGTTCAACCGTTCAGTCCACATGTACATCTCCCAGTGTAGAGTAAAACTGGAAATATTAATCTGGAGGTCTCCTTCTAGTCTTCATCCCCACTGGCCTCTTAAAAGTGTCAAGATCTCAGGGCACCTGGGTGGCTTAGTCGGTTGAGTGGCTGCCTTCAGCCCAGGTCACGATCTCGGAATCCCAGGATCAAGCCCCACATGGGGCTTCCTGCTCAGAGAAAAGACTGCTTCTCCCTCTGCCTGTTGCTTCCCCTGCTTATGCTCTATCTCTCTCTCACTCTTGCTCAATAAATCAATGAAATAAATCAATGAAATCTTAAAAAAAAAAAAGTGTCAGGATTTCATCCACCAAGTGCAGTTCTAATATCTAACAAAACACCTGGGAGAAGATGAAGAGGGAAGGCCCTGGAGAGGCTCCTGAGGAGGAGACCGTATCAGTGGTGCAGTGACAACTGCTGGCAATAGGAAGGAGGACATGCCTGGCCCCCTTGCGGGGAGAGGAGAGGAGAGGCAGGTTTTCATCCCCACCGTGGCCGTCACATGGTTCTGGCTGTTTCAAGTCAGCACTTGTCCAGCAACAATATTCCCATTCCTAAAGGGATGAAATACAGATCTAGCCAAGAAGAGAAATTAAGTGAAGACCAAATAATGTTGCCAACCACAGTTAATTATTCACCAGTTCCTAAAGAGACACCTGTTGAAGAGTGGACTTCCTGGGATAAAGATGCCCCCACAAGGGTAAAGACTGAAGGAGAGAGTGGAATGTGGCAACAGCACAAAATGCTTTGGGACTGGAACCTATTTTAAGGGTGTGACACCAACTATGAAAAAAAAAACAAAACTCAGAAAATCATATTAAGAAGAAAGAACCAGAGGTGCCTGGGTGGCTCAGTCATTCAGCATCCAAATCTTGATCTCAGGTCATGATCTCAGGGTTGTGAGACTGAGCCCCAATTCAGGCTCCACCCTGGGCATGGGGCCTGCTCAAGATTCTCTCTCTCTCTCTCTCTCCTCCTACTGCCACCCCTGCTTGCTCTTTAGCTCTCTCGTAGAAAGAAAGAAAGAAAGAAAGAAAGAAAGAAAGAAAGAAAGAAAGAAAGAAAGAGAAAAAGAAGAAGAGGAAGGAACCATTATGTCCTGACATCCCAGGAAACACAGGTTTCTCTAGATTAGCAGCAACACGAGATGAAGAAAGAATCTGCTGATCTAGGAACTTAGAAAATACCAGTGAATGGGATGATGATGATGCAGCCTGGTTCAGAGCAGAAAAGAGCAAAGCGCAAAGGGCAGCAGAACAAGAGAAGAAGGCAATGGAAGAGGAAGCACAGCAGCTAACGAAATAGGAACACAACAAAACTGGTGTGAAACTCTCCTAGCTGTTCTCCAGATGCCGTGGTGCTGGCAGCCCAAGCAATGGGAGTACAGATGTGGGAGTATTTTCAGAATGCAAACACACTGCCTGATTTTAATGCATTCATCAGTCCTCTGGGATAAGAGATTTCTCCCAAAATACCATGAACTCTTGGTAGTTGAGACTCACAAAAACAAAAAAGAATTATGAGATAGGATTTTCTTTAACATGGTCCCAATATAAGACAATTGCTGTGGAGAAGTTCCTACAAACAGGCTATACCAGTACTTCTTCAAACTAGTGTTTCTAGCAAAACAAATGGGGGTAAATAATTTTATGGTGAAAAAAACTCTGCCATCTATTATGCTTCCTTCAATGCACATAACGATAACAATTTTAAATAAAAAAAAATCTCACAACTATTTGTACATTACGGCCTAAATACTTCATGGGTACTCAAATGAGGAGCCTGTGATCTGTCCATGCTGCAGGGAAAATTGGCTATTCTGAATTTTATGAGAGAACAATGCAAAGGTTAAGTCTGACTACATGCTTTTTCTCTTTTACACACACTATGGACCTCACTTCCACATAAGATGCAACCCCATGTAATTCAACAAAAATGTCTTCCGTGCTGAGGGAACTTCTAAGAGCTATATCATACTGCATGCACATTGTAAATTAAGAACTTAATCTCACTGGGGCGCCTGGGTGGCTCAGTCGGTTAAGCATCTGCCTTCAGCTCAGGTCATGATCCCAGGGCTCTGAGATTGAGCCCCGCATCAGGCTCCCTGCTCGGTGGGCAGCCTGCTCCTCCCCATCCTTCTGCTTGCTGCTCCCCCTGCTTGTGCTCACTCTGTCAAATAATGTTTTTTTTTTTAAATCTTAAAAAAAAAAAAAAAAGAACTTAATCTCATTTATCCTATAATGCCATTTCTGAAAGAGAACACTGCAAGAGGTCCAATAAGCTTCTGTACTTTTTTGAGTCCGAACTGCAAAGACCATAAGGCACCCTCACCTAGATTGGGTGGGACTACTAACTGAGGGTCTCTAAGCGACACTACCCCATTGGCAGGAATGGTCAAGGAAGAAGGAGGAAGCAAGGCATACCTATCTTAATAGGGCAGGAGTATTTCCTCCTCTTATCTGCACCCTGATGACATTCTATTCCAGAGGCATAGATTCCCATGTCAAACGTACCTATTTTTGTGAAGGGTTTCATTCAGCACAAGGTCTTCATAGCGTTGCCGAGCAAAGTTACCCCCAAAACCCAGGAAGGTTGTGACATAAACCCTATACACGTGTTCAGTATGCTGCACATCACAGCCCAGGTTGAATTCAGCCAGCAGGATCTTTGCTTCTTCTTCCTAAAATACAATGTAAAGAGAAAAAAGGGAATTTTAATTTTGGCTGATTGACAGAAAGCTATGACATCACTAATACACCAGTCTTCATGTGCTGTAACTACTCTTTTAAGATATATGATAGCGTTCTCTCATTCTCATAGCATTATTTTCAACAAAGGCAAAATGACAAACCTATCTAAAACAGTACAGAGACTAAATACCAAATTAGAGACCACAACACTGTAGTTCTACAAAAGATAGACTCATTATTACAGATCATGTCATTTTCTTGCGTGTACTTTTCTGATTTTCTAATTCTCCAAAATGAGAATGTACTATTTTTTATCATTAGGACAAAAAAAATCCTTTGATAAAAAGAAATTTAAGGAATTTGGGAGAGCACCATGATACCTATTCTATGGGTTTTTCTAAAACTATTCAAGAAGATCTAATGTTTCCTATGACAAGGACTGGGGCTGGAATAGGAAAGGTTCCGTTTTGCTGGACCTTCCATGAAAGAGGGCTCTGTTTTTTTTAACTTCAGACACATGGGTTGAATTAATTATACTCCTCATTTCAACGTACATTATTATGGCAAAGCCCCATTTTTGCTTTATTTATTTACTTCCTTTTATCCTCATATTCACTCCCATTCCTGCTCCCCACAGGCAACCATTCTAATGTGCTTAATGCATAATATATGTTCATACGTATTGTTGTAAAATGAAATTATTGTTTTGAATGTATTTAATTTATGAAGATGCTATTTTGCCCAGCAATTTCACTAAGTATATACACAAGAAGAGTGAAAACTATGACTAATCAAACATGTGTATGTGCATTTTCACAGCAGCATTATCCCTAACAGCTAAAAACTGGAAATAACACCCAAAAGTCCATCAACTGATGAATGCATAAACAAAATGTGGCATGGTCATATAATGGGATATTATTCAGCAATGAAGAGAAATGGAGTACTGACTGACATGTGCTATAACAGAGATGAACCCTGAAAACATTTTGCTAAGTGAAGGAAGCAGACACACACCGTCATATACTGTATGATTCCATTTATGTGAAACACTCAAAACAGGCAACTCCACAGGCGATGAGAAGCAGATTACTGGCTGTCAGGGCTCTAAGGAGAGAATGGTATGTGACTGCTACTGAATGTGGGGTTTCTTTGGGGGTAATGAATATGTTCTAGAATTCAGTAGTGGTGGTTGGGTTACTTTGTGAACGTGCGCAACTCTGTGAATTGTACAAAAAAAACACTTTAGGCACGGAGGATTATTTGTGTCTTTTAAAGTGCTACTGTGTTATGTCTCATTGTTCTTTTCCTTCTTTACCAAGCACTAAGATCCATCTTTAAGACCATTATATTGCTATGCATTCATCTAATTTAGTGGCTTGCAAGATCACTTTCTACACCAGTGTCACTTTCTAAATCTACACAAATAAAAAAAATCATTTGTTTAAGACTTTAAGGATCAGTGCCACTTACTGGAACCATGCCTTCAGTTTACTTGTTGACTACATATTAACAAATACAGACTAAAATTAAAATGTCTTACAACCTAGTTCCCCAAATTTCCAAACCTTGCACAGACCCCTGCTGCTTATCAAACCCACAGTTCCAACGATCTTGCTGGCTATTTATACACATCTGTGCCTCGGGTACTTCAAATTCAACATACTCAAAACTGAACTCACCTGTCACAGTACTTGGGCTAGAGACCAGAAAGTCACTCTCACCCAAACCACCCAGGCCATCCTGATTTGCTTAGCATCAACCCACCTTTTACCCTGGGGTCTCTCTAGTGCCTTGGTTCTTTACCCTACCAGGTATCTAGGCAGGCACCTCAGCATCACTATCTACCCCTCCCTGCCCTACCCACACCACTTCATTGCACTGGTGCTTTAAATTCTAAAATACACCTGAAATCTGTCCCCTCTACTCTATTTCCATTTCCATTGCCTAGTTTATCCCTTATTACTTCTCATCCAAGTTTCCCTGGCCTACATTTCTTTCTCCCACTAATATCAAAATTATTTTCCTAACAAATCAATTAGCCCACAGTCACACGATACAAAGCTGGAAAGAACTTTGGGAATTTTATTTCACAGGTGATGAAATTGAGGCCCATATGACTGCCCTACTCAAAAATCTTTGCTGATTCTCCTCCATCTACAGATAAAAAAGTGAAATTCCCTAGCATGGCACCCAAGAGTCCTCCCCATCTAACTTCATCTTAGCTTCCTAGACTTAGCTGTACCATACTGACAAATCTTATACCACAACAAGCTATTCACCACTCCCTGGACATTCTGGACTCTTTGCTTTTCCTTTTGTGCCCTCGTGCATACTGGTGCCTCCATACAGGTGGCCTTCGTCCACCTCCACTATGCAAAAGCCTACTATCACCCATGACCCAGGTAACAAGCCAGGATGACTCTCATTCATGGAGCAGGGGACATGGGATGGGGACATTACTGGATCTGGTAGAGGCCAGAGATGCTGCTAAACATTTTATGCACTGGACAGCTACAACAAAGACTTAACCAGCCCCAAATGTGAATAGTACCATTGATGAGAAACCCTGGTTTAGATGAAATGACAGCACTGTCATGGTCTGTCTGTTATCACAGGCTGTCTTCACTGATAGATTATAAGCTTTTGGGGAGCAGTATAATATGTCTTTTTCCTTGCCCATAATAGGTGCTTAAAAACTGTCTGCATTTCTTTTTCCTCTCTGTGATAAAACTACTTCAAGATACGTTCTTTACACCCTAGTCAGGTAAGGAATATTAGAAGCACAAGAATGGAATCATAAGTAAGGGAAAGGAAGTAACATTTAATAAACAAGTATATATCAAATACCATGCTCTGGGATTTATATGTATTATCATGTTTAATCATCACACAGCCCTAGGAGATGGGAGTATAATTACAATTGCTAAAATATATTAAACATTTATCACATACTGGTAAATCTGTTAAGTGCTCTACACACATGGTGTCATTTCATCCTCCCAACTTTACGAAGTAGATACTATTATTATTCTCTTTTTATATATGAGGAAATTAAGGCTCAGAGGGGTAACCTACCCAAGGTAATATAAGCTAGCAAGTATGTGAACAAATATTGGACCAAGGTAGGTTGGTCTATGTCCAAAGACAGTGCCCTTCTTCTTAAATACTGGCATTTCTAGCAACCGAATTTCCCGAAAAGGTAAAATACCTGTTTTGGAGGAAGGACAGAAGTTGAGGTAGGAACTTCATAAGCAATTTGAAGAGAGGCTCCTCCCATATCCAGTATCCCTACTGTCCTTCTGCGCCCTGCTGCCAGTTCCTGGGGAGCTTCGGCATCAGATTCTGAAATAAATAAGGGAACAGGAAGGATCTAGTAATTAAAAAACAAAATTAAATCAAAAAGAAAAAAAAAAAAACCCAAAATGGAAATCCCTTAAAAAATAAAGAGCAAACGGGGCGCCTGGGTGTCTCAGTGGGTTGAGCCTCTGCCTTTGGCTCGGGTCATGATCTCAGGGTCCTGGGATCAGCCCTGCATCGGGCTCTCTGCTCAGCGGGGAGCCTGCTTCCCCCCCTCCTCTGCCTCCCTCGCTGCCTAGTTGTGATCTCTCTTTCTGTCAAATAAATAAATAAAATCTTTTTTTAAAAAATAAAATAAAATAAAAATAAAGAGCAAACTGAAATATATTAATCTAAAACTATATCAACTATATATTATAGAGAATTCTTTCAAGTAACTTACAACCGCATTTTTACTATATCCCTTATAGAATGTATCTTAATGACAAAGAGGCAAATAGATATCTTAAACTGCACTTTAGTAGTCTTATTGGTAATAATTTTATTGGTATTATTATTTTTAAATCATTAATCATATATTATGAAATAAAGCAAATATTTATATTAGTATCTTTAGAAACATAATCAGCATAAAAAAACCTAAGAGTATAAAATCAAACATATTAAGCAATAACCTTATAACTTTAAATATGAATTGGAACTACCACTGTGAAATCATGATTTATTTTTCTCTTTCTAAAAACACATACTTTCTAGGTCTGTTCACTGAAAGGGACTAACAGCAAGGATAACCCAAGAGCAATGAGCACCCTTGGCATCCACGCTACTTTATACCATTTTCCAATCAAAGAAACCAGGGCTCCTTAAAAAATGGTTGTTGCTAGGTCTAAGGTAGAAAAAATACAAGATGATCATGGAATATCTTAGTGTGCCCAAAAGCAAGGGAAATAGACTACAAAACTATTGGGATGTTAAACGGTACGGGAGCTAACCTAAAGATGCCTCTACTGGCCAATGACAGTATAATTTGAGCACAGAAAAGAATAATGATGTGATGGACCATGATGCATCAAACACATTAAAATCTAAAAGTCATAAGATACTGGGGCCGGGGGGGAACTTCACTGGTTACCTTTAACCTTTTTGTGCTAGGACATGAAGTCGTTATTAAAAAACTTGATAAATGAAAGAAGGAAGGACTCATTTTGTCTTTCCAATAAGGATAATTGAATAGTTAGTGAAGAAAGTTTTGTTATATAAAAATCCAAGTTGGGCAGTGGATGGCTCAGTGGGTTAAGTGTCTGCCTTCAGCTCAGGTCATGATCCCAAGGTCCTAGGATGGAGCCCCACATAGGACTCTCAGCTCAGCAGGGAGCCTGCTTCTCCCTCACCCTCTGTCTATCACTCTGGCTACCTGTGCGCTCTCTCTGTCAAATAAATAAATAAAAATGTTAAAATATTAAAAAAAAAATAAGAAAAGAAAAATCCAAGCTGTTGGGTGCCTGGGTGGCTCAGTAGGTTAATGTTGGCCTTTGGATCAGGTCATGATCCCAGGGTCCTACGGTGGAGCCTAACCAGGTTAGGTTCCCGGCTCAGTGGAGAGCCTGCTTCTCCCTCTCCCTCTACCTCTTCCCTCTGCTTATTCTCTCTCTCTCTCAAATAAATCTTAAAAAAAGAAAGAATAATATTTACTTTATTTATTTATTGCAGAATAACTGAAAGAATTAGAAAAATCAACATTTTGCAACCTCTAATGAAGAAAATGGATCTAAGCAACCATCACAATTGGCTATTAATTAAATGAAAAGTGGCTGGGGAATTTTTATAATAGATTACATCAGACTGACAATACCTGAATCCTGAATATCTGATCAGTCTTAACATGACTAAAAGTGGGACAACCAGGAAACACTTAACGCCAATATTTATGATTTATTCTTGCCAAAAGAACTGAATCTCTGTCTAATCAAGGTTCTATCTCTAATCTCCAATATACTGGACGGAAGGAGGGATGAAGAGCATGTTGCAGACCCCACAAAAATGCAGTTAATCAAATCAAGAATGTGTCAAATTCATGCTATCAAGTAACCCAGTTTTGTTTTTGTTTCTAATCATTTGAGAAAAAAGAGGTGTGTTTGGGGCGGGGGGGGGGGACTGTTTTAGATTAAGAAACTGATCAAACATAACACGTGATCCTCATTCAGATTCTAATTTTAGCAAGACAACTACAAATAAATATTCTTGAGACAATAAGGTAAGTCTACACCTGGGTAGATGAATATTACATAATATTAGAAATTATTAACTTTTTTAAATTTAAAAATGCCATTGTGTATATTTTGTTTGTTTTGCAACTCTTCATTGGTGAGAGAGATACACTGAAGTACATGAAGATAAAATGGTATGTCTGGGGTTTGCTTTGAAAAATCCAATAGGAGGGGCACCTGGGTGGCTTAGACATTTAAGTATCTGACTCTTGGTTTTAGCTCAGGTCATGATCTCATGGGTCCGGAGACTGAAACCCATGTTGGGCTCCACACTCAGTGGGGAGTCTGCCTGAGATTCTCCCCCTCTACCCCTCTCCCCACTCACACTCTCTAGCTCTTGCTCTCTCTCTCAAAATAAATAAATATATATTTTTTAATCCAGTAGGAAAAAAACCTGTGTTGTATAAAGGGAGTGTGGGGCCAAAAAACTAGCTAACCACAAATTAGTGTTGAGTCTGGGTATTGGGTTCATGGAGATTCATTTTATTATTTACTTCTATGAATGTTTGAACTTTCCATATTAAGAAGTTAAAAAGAAAAAAAAGAAAGCAAATTAGGACTAGAAAATAAGCATCTTAAAAGAGTTTTTAAAAACTAAAGAAAGAAAGAAAAACAACTCAAACACAGCACTTATGTTCTACAGATAGGTTACAACATAAACCTTCAGTGCTTAGAACTGTCATAAGGCAACAGTATTACTCACCATCCTCATGGTCAAATCTTCCCAAAACAAAGTTGATTCCAATCCATGCATAAACTCCTAAGTAAGAAATATGAAAGTCCTCGCTTAATTCTCTGTTGCTATGCCATGACTACACCTCTTCCCAGGGCTGTTCTTTTCCTCCTTTTCTTAGAAAAAGGTGATGAGAGTATTTTATTCCACACTCTCATTGTATGAATTTAAAAATCTCAACTTATGATGCTTTTCCCTTTAATCACTTTAAAATGATCTGCATTGTCTAAATTTCCTACAGATGATTATGGATTAATGTATAAAAACAACTGGTAAAAAATGTGACTCTTGGGAGTTCTGGTCCTGGGCAAGATGGAATAAGCACACTCCATCCTGTCTCCCCACTGAATACAAGTGTAAACTCTGGATGGAATGGAAAGAGCAGATTTGTGAGACCTCTGAAAGGAAATGATAATGGGCACACAGAGACAGAGATCAGAAGTTAAAGTGCCACCAAACTGGAAGTGAGTTCCCCATTTCTCCTCCCCAGATATTGCCTGGCCTGGACTCAACAGCAGCTTGAAACACAAAAGGACATACAGGTGTGGAGGAAAGAACTTCAAGACCTTGCTTTCTGGTTCAAGGAGCATTAAAAGGGACTCTAAAAGCTCAGAAAGAATAGAGGAAAATCCTTTGAGGTTTTTTTCCGTTTTTTTTGTTGTTGTTGTTCTCTGCTTCCCCAGGTAATCCTGCAGGGGTAGAGGCAGAAGTTGGGCAGGTACCTAAAACTCTGAAGAACATGAATCCTTTTCTCTGACTAGAGGAGCTACAGCCTCAAGAGTTGGCAAAAATCCCTATTGGTTATTTTTCCCCCTCTGTCCTGTATCATTTAGCCCTGGCTACATCATGGGAAATGAACGGCAGAGCAGGTAAGTTAAAGTCCTGGCTTTCTGACCGGAGGACCATGAAAGTGAGCCCCAGGGAATCAGAAAGAGGAGAGGGAGGGGAAATCACAAAGAGTAGGGAATAAAGTAGTGTATCAACTCTTGGGCTCACAGTCAAGCTACACATGAATGGATCTCACTCTAAACAATATAAATACACCAAAGGTTCTGAGAACTGAACTACTGGCTAGACAACCCATTGGTATGGGCTATGCCCAGATTCTAGATTGGCCACTGGATGACACAAAAATGGGACAAATTCAAATAGCAGTGCCAACGCTTTGAAAAACGAATCAATAGAATCACAGCCAACAAAAGGTAGGTCAGAACTTGAGGCATGAACCTAACCAGGTCAATTCCCTGCTAAAACAATCAATATTCTCCTTATGACTGAAAAAAGACCCAGAATCTCATAATGTAATATTTTAAATGTCCAGGATACAATATAAAATTACTTGGCATAAAAAGAACCAGGAAATTCTCAACTCATAAGGGAAAAGATGCCAACTGCAAGAAGAAGACACAGATGTCAGAATTATCAGACAAAAATATCAAAGCAGCTATATAATCAAGAAGTAAGAGCAGTCCTAGCATGAATGGAAAGATAGTTTCAGCAAACTACTAAAACATACAAAAGAACCAAATGAAAATTCTAGGGCTGAAAAATGCAATACTGAAATTGAAAAAGGTAAATCTTTTCCCTTATGTGAACTATAACTAGAATGCATAGATTTTGTCTTTTTCAAGAAATGGAAACATAATTTTGTCATACGGGCCACATTTGGGCCACAAGAGAACACCCATTCAACTCCACCCCCAAACGGCAAGCTTTTAGGGACTTATCAGTACTGCACAGTAAATGCAATAAAGGGAGAGCCCATAACAAAAGAAAAATAGTGATCATCCTGATCACCCCCTAAAATTAAAGTTTCCCCTTACTTTAATCTAGTAATTTGATTTACATTTGAATTTGGCAAACTCAGTAGAACTCAGAAAAGCATGTATGCTTTCAAAACTACAATTAGCTAGCAAAATATCCATTTGGAATCATCACTAAATACTAATACCTTCTTTTTTTAAAAAATTTAATTTAATTTTTTCAGTGTTAGAAGATTTAGTGACATCACACAATCTCTTAGGGCGGAAGTAAGAGCTGACCTGGCAGAAGTTAAAAATGCTATCAATGAGATCCAATCTAATCTAAATACTCTAACAGGTAGGGGGTAACCAAGGCAGAAGAGGGAATTAGTGATCTAGAGGACAAACTGATAGAGAAAAAGGGTCAAGAGGAGGCCTGGAACAAACAGCTTAGAAGCCATGGAAACAGAATTAGGGAAATAAATGACGCCATGAAACGTTCCAACATCAGAATTATTGGGATCCCTGAGGGGGTGGAGAGAGAGAAGACTAGAAGATATAGTTGAACAAATTCTGGATGAGAATTTCCCCAATCTGGGGAATACAAAAAGCGTTTGTGTCCTGGAGGCAGAAAGGATACCCACCAAGATCAACAAGTCTAGAAAGACCACAAGACACTTGATTGTGAAACTCACGAATCATATTTTTAGACAAGAACTTCTAAGGGCAGCTAGGGGGAAAAGATTCCTTATGAGCAGAGGAAGGTCCATCAGAATAACGTCAGACCTGTCCACAGAAACCTGGCAACCATACAAGGCTGGCAAGACATATTTGGGGCACTAAATGAGAAGAACATGCAGCCAAGAATACTTTATCCAGCAAGGATGACATTCAAAATGGATGGAGAGATAAAGAGCTTCCAAGACCAGCAAGGTTTAAAAGAGTGTGTGATCACCAAGCCGGCACTAAAAGAAATCTTAAGGGGGGGGCGTTCTATAAAGGAAGAAAGAACCCAAGAGTGACATAGAACAGAAATTCACAATCTATAGAAACAAGGACTTCACAGGCAACATGATATCAATAAAAACGTATCTTTCAATGATCACTCTAAACGTGAACAGCCTAAATGCTCCCATAAAATGGCACAAGGTTGCAGACTGGATAAAAAAACAGGACCCATCCATATGCTGTCTACAAGAGACACACATGGAACCTAAAGATACATCCAGACTGAAAGTGAAGGGATGGAGAAGCATCTTTCATGCCAATAGGCCTCAAAAGAAAGCTGGGGTAGTGATTCTCATATCAGACAAATTAGATTTTAAACTAAAGACTGCACTCAGATTTATAGAAGGACACTTCATCATTCTTAAAGGGTCTAACCACCAAGAAAATCTAATACCTTCTTATAAACATAGTACTTAGCACAAAGTTAAAAACAAATATAAACACAGGACTTCTAGAAGCAGGATTCTTTTTTTCCCATTGTAAAAAAATTTAAATTCAATTAATTAAAATATAGAGTATTCATTTCAGAGGCAGAGTTCAGTGATTCATCAGTCTTATGTAATACCCAGTGCTCATTACATCACATGCCCTCCTTAATGTCCATCACCCACCTCCCCTCTAAAAGCAGCATTCTAAAACAGATACTAATGCAGAATACGCAAATAATAACTAAAAAACTATACAGCAGAATCAAGAAAATTAATCGAAGGAAAGTAAATATCAAATATATAAAGGAATCCTAAACCCCCACCAGAGAGACTATGCCATGGTTGGCTGGGAGCCAAACCAGGGTGCCCCTTGAGGCCCATTACCTTCCTGCTTCCCAGAGATCACTTCTGCCTGAGACTGAGAAAAGAGGAAGTCAAACTCCAGCGGTAAATCCCTCACTAGATCAGCCAAGATGGCCAGCTGCTTTCTGCAAGAAAGAAAAAACATGTAAAAGTTAATCGTTAAACACTCTTCTCACAATTAGCTTCAACTTGAGCTTCTACTCAGACTCGTTACAACTCACTGTTCATACAGCCATCCATCAGTTGAGCCCTACATCTTTCTTGTACCTTCTTTGATTTCAAAGGTTTAAACTTATCCTCCTACCTAAAGAGTAATGTGGTACTAGTAATACTTTCCATTTTTATAATTTTATGATTCGTATAGCTTTAAAAGATGAGACCGTGGTTCTGTGCCTCTCACAGGCTGAATACGTATAAGTGGCAGGAAGCACGGTTTCGTAATTACATGATCCCTAACTACTGTGAACGGAAGCTGTTAGACTGAGGAACACAATCTCATCCTCAGCTCTTACATAATACAGAAACAACACCTCAAGTCACCACACGATGAGCACTGTTAGGTCCACAAGTTTTTAATAATCCTTTACACAAGCTGACAATGAACTTTTTAATCTCCCTTTATCTATTTCAAGGGTTGGGTTTTTTTTTTTTTTCTTTATAAAAAATCTTATCATTTGAAAAACCCAGATCAGGATCAAAATCCAAAGGTTATAACAATTTGGGGACAAAGTTTTGAGTCTTATTATCTAAGGTTGTTTTTGCCTCTAAAGTTTTTTGTTATCCATGTTATTAAAGGAGAGCAAAGAAACAAAGCTAGAAGTAATAATGTGAATCTAGAGAATATGGTTAAAAATAAGAGCAATCATCCTGGATTTTTTAAATTACTCATTACAAAAATATTCCATTGGCTCAGATAGTTGTTGGCATGACTTAGTGGAGAATGTTAACACTTAAAAGTGAAGAATACATTTAAAGTAATAATTTCCCAGTATACTGTCAAATATAGTTTATAAAAAAGCTCATTGTTATACATATTAAATTCTTGCAATAAGAATTTTGCATGTGTAATAAGAGGGACTATTTTGCCCTCCCTCTTGGATAAGCTTCTAAAATACCCAAAGAAGAAGGCTTATTGGTTTTGGCAATGATTTGGAAGAAGAAGCACCAGTATACACTACTGTCTGGAATACAAATTCCTGGTATGATGTTTCCAAGAGCAATCCAGGCCTATGTGTCCACATTTTTAATGTGCTTAACCCTGGACCAGCTATTACACTTTTAGAAATGTATTGCAGGGGTGCCTGGGTGGCTCAGTGGGTTAAAGCCTCTGCCTTCGGCTCAGGTCATGATCTCAGGGTCCTGGGATTGAGCCCCGCATTGAGCTCTCTGCTCAGCAGGAAGCCTGCTTCCCCCTCTCTCTCTGCCTGCCTCTCTGCCTACTTGTGATCTCTGTCTGTCAAATAAATAAATAAAATCTTTAAAAAAAAAATGTATTGCAAGGAAATCATCAGATAAGAATACAAAAAGGAGAGAACATTGCAGCACTATTTGTAACAGTGAAAAAGTGAAAATAACCTAAATGCACATCATTTGGTATTGGTTAAATAACCTGTGGTATATCCACACGGTGTGATACTAGACAGACGTTAGAAGAAATGAGGTCGATATAGATCTGTATGTACTGGTGTGAAAAGCTGTCCAATATATTCTGAGTTCTAATAGGTTATTAAACAATACATATAATGTGATCCCAATTTATATTAAACAATGAAACAAAAAAATTCTTCATGTACTGCACAGGACTCTCTAAAATTCAATTATTGTTTCTTTATTAAAGAAAAACTTTCAGTGGCAAAATATTGGTAATTGTTAAGCTGGGTGGGTAAGAAAATACAGATTCATCATGCTGTTTTGTTTTTTTTTAATGTTTGAAATTTTCCATAACAAAAGTTTTCTTTCCCCTTAAATATCACCTTATACTATATTTGTAGTTTTTTAAAGATATTTCCATTACAAAATGAAAACGAGGTAAAACAAGGTGTTAGTTCAGGACTTTGGCAAAGAAATAAAACCTAGTGCTAATACATTTCAAAATTACAGTCCCTGTAATTTGAACCCATTTTGAATACTGCTCACAAACACTAATAAATTAGCAAAGCATCAAATATACAAAACAGGTTCTTGCAGTGATGGTTACATTTATGTCAACAACTATGGCTGCCTCAATTGCTAGCAATGATTTCAGAAGCCCAGGATAGATCCAGGCATTATTAGATGAGGTGATCAGAAGGCAAGTTAAAACGAAAGCTCTTCACAAATACTTAAGATAAAAGAAATATTAATATTCAGAGCTTCCATGCAGTGAACATCTTGCCAAATGGAATGGAGCTACATAGTGGGTTTTCCCCAGATGGAAATTTCTTTTTTTTTTTTTTTTAAGATTTTATTTATTTATTAGACAGAGATCACAAGTAGACAGAGAGGCAGGCAGAGAGAGAGAGAGGGAAGCAGGCTCCCCGCTGAGCAGAGAGCCCGATGCGGGACTCGATCCCAGGACCCTGAGATCATGACCTGAGCCGAAGGCAGCGGCTTAACCCACTGAGCCACCCAGGTGCCCCAGATGGAAACTTCTTTGACAGAGTCAGTGCTGAGCGGTGTCAAACAATGAGACAATCCTCTTTGCTTCAGACCCCCAAAACATGGCTAAACCATCATCCTCCGGTTGGCTCTGCCTTTCTGACTTCTGAGTCAGCTTTTTCTCTGGCCATCCTCCCCCTTGCTCCCCTCTGTTGACTGTAGACCACTCACAGACCTGTGATGTGGCATCCCTGTGTCACCTCTACTCTTCCCAGGATTTCTAAATTTTGAACTATGTGAATATTACTTATATCAAAATGAAAAATCCTAAATTGCATGTACAGTATGGTTACGACCTTGTAGAAACTACACATAGATGTACAGAGAGAAGGCAATGTGACAAAATGAAACACTTTTGAAAGGGCACCAGGAATGTAAGTGTTTGGGGTTTGTTTTGTTTTATTTTTAAAATTTCTTTAATGCAGCTATAATATTTTAAAATTTGGTTTTAAAAATAAAAACAAGACAAAAATTTCTTAAAGGTCAAGATAAATGGAAAAATAAGAGGCTAGAAGAGCTCTCATTTCCACAAATGGCTATATAATCTCCTCCTCAACTGAAGACCAGATAGTAAACCAGTAACCTCGTGTCTAAACAGAAGGAAGGAAGTCCACTGCAACAACTGTGGACATGTGTTTTCTGGCTCATCTGGCATAAGCCGTATGAAGCCCTACATTCATGGCTGAGGTTTTTGTTGTTGCTGGCCAAGCATATAGAACAAAACTTCCTCGAAAAGGTTACTGTTATTTACCAAGAATAAAATATTTAAGCTAATTAAAAAACACCTGATGCCTGTGAGACTTAGAGCATTCCAAGAGGACAAATTCTAAGGTTAAGGAAGGTCACTCCCACCCCATGACCATAAGTCTGCAGGGGTCAGAGAGGTGTCGAAGGAGAGAAATCACAAACAAGAAGGGGTGTCACCTAAGTATAGCCACTGCCTCTTCCTCCTCCTCTTCCTCCTCTTCCAGAGAAGGAAGAGGGATCAGGTGGCAAGATCCTGGGCTAAACTACCAAAGCCAAGTGGACACTGGACTGGTTGGGATGGAAAAAGCTAGTCTAAAGCAATGGAGACTGAGCTTTGCAAGCAGCACCAACTATCACCAGGGAGCCAGGCAGTTGCAGACAGAGCAGCATTCCTACCAGAGCCTCTCCTACTGGCCTCCAGGCACCCAGTCACTCAGATGAACCTCCTACAGCCCTTCTCTAACTATGTTCCCCATCTAGTGATCCAAAGTTACCACCATCACCGTTGCTTCTCAATCAAAACTAACAATCATTACAGCCATCTCAGATAGATATCGATCCCAAGGAAGCAAGTGACATGAAGCTCTGAACAACAGATTGTGAAATAATGATGTGCGGAGGTGGCTCTGCTCTATTTTGAGCAAGGAGCCTTTTACTGCCTGCCACCTGCCAGCTCTGTGTGATATATCCCCAGCCCACCTTCAGACAGGGGAACTACAGAGAACAATGTGTAGAAATCAGTCTTGTGGGGCTCCTGGGTGCCTCAGCCGTTAAGCAAGCAGCTGCCTTCGGCTCAGGTCATAATCCCAGGGTCCTAGGATTGAGCCCCGCTTTGGGCTCTCTGCTCAGTGGGGAGCCTGCTTATCCCTCTCGCACTCCCCCTGCTTGTGTTCCTTCTCTCGCCATCTCTTTCTATCTGTCAAATAAATAAAATCTTCAAAAAAAAAAAAAAAAATAGAATCAGTCTTGCAACTCTTGTACCAGCCATTTTCCTGTGTCCAGACCCCAGCCCTCACCTCTCGGGGAGAAGCCGCATGCCTGCAGTGCAGAGGATGTAGAGGGGTGTCTCCTTGTGCTTCTTCACAGGCACGTGAGCAGCGGCAAAGCTGAGCAGAGGACGAAGGTAATCACTGGCATGTTCTGGGGTGTCTGCCATTGCAGAGATTCCTTAAGCAAGACAAAATATTTTAAAAAGCAGATCACATTGACTCAGAAGACTGATACGCCATGAAGTTCTGCTTAAGGTCCTAAACACATAATTATTTGTGAGGATGGGAGCAGCAACGAATGAGATATCCCTTCCATTATCCAGAATCTCAAGGGAAAAAAAGGTTTTTTTCTGCCTCTTTCCTTCTGCCTCTTCCTTCCTCTCTCATGCCTGCAGCAGATAAAAAGAGACTGACAACGAAATATATTCCAATTAGTACCTGGCTTGATTTTTTTAACGACTGGCTGGCTGTTGCGGTCTCTCATCTGTTTGATATCCAGCAAATCATGGGGGTTGCCATTATGTCTTGGCCAGAAATAAACAAAAATCCGGGAGCCACTGCTGCCACAGTCCACAACAAGTCCGTAATTCAGAGTTGGGTCTGCAGTGTCAGTCGCTTCAAGCTCCCCGACTCGTGCCAAATACCTACGCCAGGCAGAAAGAGAAATTGGTATCAAGCATCCAGGTCCACAAAAGGCACTACTACTTTAATTCATTTGTTCATTAGTCTTCATTAACTGTCTATATGTGCCAACCACATGGAACCACACGTCTCAAGGAATGAAACAACACTGACCATAGTTACTGATGGATACGTATGAGACAACAGCTGGTTCGCTCGCCTAGAGGCCACTGGAATCAGAGAACTAAAAGACTCCTCCATGTTTGGAGGCAGTTCTGAAACCAGCTGAAGTACCAAATCTTTCACCAACTTTAAAGAGCTTCTAGGCCTGAGTAAATTACTGGTTTTTGTTGTTCTAAGCCACTAAGATTCGGGGCAGTTTGTTACACACATTGATTAATTAAATGAATCCTAATAATTTCTCTTCATCTTTTCTGTATCTAAAGAATACTTTGGAATGATTATCACTTAATACATGTTTCTAGGTGGTAAAAATTTATGGGGCTTTTGCTTTGTATTTTTTAGTGCTAGATTTGCATTAACGAAAAATGTATTTTAAAATACTATATTCTTCTCTACAAACTTTTAAACTATTTTTTAGTCATAGAAAGAATGTTTATAAAGTATGTATAAGTAATAACAATAAGACAATGCCTCTGTGCCCAATACCCAGTTTAAAAAATAAAACATTATACTGCTTCAAAAAAAAAAAAAAAAAAAAAAAACACCAAAAAGCTTCTAGGCCCAAGGACAGCAATACTTTGTGGTGGGATTTTTTTTTTTTCAGATTCTTATTACAAGATATTTATTTGGCTGACAGCAGAAAGATGAAACAAGTGAAGATGTTATCATCAGAACACCAAGGTTTGAATCTCAGCTCTAGCACTTTCTATGCTGTGTGACCTTCAGCAAGTTACTTAACTTCTCTCAGACTGTTTTCTCATCTGTAAAATAAGAGTATGAGAGTGCTGAGTGGTTAGCTCAGCGCTGTGCTGCTGCTGCTCTTGTTGTTGTGTGATGAGTATTGGGAGAGGAAATAATAGAAGACTCTTGGGAGAAAAGGGCAGGAAAGTCCAGAAGGAAAGAAGTCTAAGGGTTGGTAAAAATGCTTCTGAACTCTGAGTCTTTAATAAACATTAAAGTTCACTCAGAACCTGAGGGTCTGAAAAGTACAAATATTATCAACTCCTCTTCAAAAGCTTCACTTGAAGGGGAGCTCAGGAAGAACGGCTCTTAGCTTATTATATGGAAAAAGAGCTCTTTCTCAGTGCTACAAATACATACTACATGGCAGACAGATTCAAATGTCTTCAAAATTCCTTTAAATTTGATTAAGTATTAGTATACGTTGAGATAATAGCTGAATAAATGCTCTGAAAGCAGTGCTGTGAATTTTTTCAAGTATCACAGCTGAACAACCTTCCTTCTATCTGCCCTAGTCACCCAACACTATATTTAGAGCTAATTCCTAGATCCCCTAGACCCTTACACAGAAGCCCTCAGAACTAGGTTTTGTGAAGCCTGAAGCCAGTGCCAATGGAGAGGTGTTCTTTTTAAAGAAAGATTCAACATTACAAATGCAAAAGGAGTCCACACATGCCTGGGGCCTTGAAGTATAGGTATCAATAGCTCTGCAGGAAATCTACCTCTGATTAGGCAATAAGCCACATGTCCCACCCCTGAGGACATTCTAGTCCATGTTTACTGGTGATTTCACATTGCTATGAAGACCACAGAATTCCCTACTTTGGACAGAAAAGCAAACTTGATGAATAGATGACCATGTAGAAACTGTGGAAAGAAAAAAAGGGAGCTAAGTACCTTTCCTAAGGTACAGTACAAAATAAAGGAAGAACATGTATTTGGGCTCCAATATAATGCTGCAAATTATTACATAGTTATGGTCAGGCAGAACTTTTTTCTGAATCCAACATCACAGTGAGTTATGGGAAATGAAGCAGGTGGTAAAAACTATTACAGTCTAGGCAATTTACAGTCCCAAAAACCACATACTTACCCATTCTGATCAAATGACTGGGTTGAACTGGGCTTATAATCCACAATCAACTCAGGACAGCTCATTGCTATCACATGAAAGGTGGGAAGATATCTGGGTTCAAGTTACAGAACTTGTGCAAATACTGATCTCACAGCACACCATAGGCACGATAAGCAATCTCTCGCCCACAGTGACTTTTGATTTCTCATTTTAGCCATCTTTCTACTTCATATCCTTCACAGATCCTTCTCTGCTTTCCCCCTCTGAAAATCTTCCCCTCTACTTTTCTCACTAGATTCTGAATCCCATTCCCTCCTACTTAATGAATAACTTTTCTCCAGGTCATTGGTTCTCAAATGTTTGGGGCTCAAGACCCTTTACTAAAAATTATTGGATCCAAAAGAGTTTTTGTATAGGTGGGTTCCATCTATTTATATTTATGTTACAAAATAAAACAGAAACATTTTTAGAATTTATTAATTTAGATATAATGATAAACTCATTACATATTAATATATTTTATAAAAATAACTATTTTTTAAAATAAAAAAACCCAGGAGGGTGGCACTGTCTTATGGTCTTGCGCATCTCTTTAGTGTGTAGATTAATAGAAGACAGCTAGATTCTCATTATTTGCCTCTGTATTCCATCTGTTACAATATGTTGTTTTGGCTGAAGTATTTCAAAAAGTCCAGCTTCGTGGAGACATGTTATTGGAAAAGGGAATACTTTAAGAAACCATTTAGATCACTGTGCATAGTCTTCTTCAATACTACACTATAATTCAAGAAGTGAAGTTTCTTAAAGGCTAGTTGCAACGTGAAATCTAAAACCCTATCTAAGAATGTTTCATACTCTATAAAGTTAACCATCGGTCTATCTCACACTTTGAATGACTTTTATCCCTGCATAATTTTGTAACATCCTATACTCAAAAATACTGGTTCACTGAGGATGCAAATCTTCCCAACACTGACACATTTCATTCTACAGTATTAAAAAAAACAAAATCCACACACTCATTCACTAGTATCACTACCCATATTATCCAAAAAAAGGCATTTAAGTATTGAGAAGCTATCAAACACATAGTCGCAGGCACAAATTTTCCAAACTGCTAATTTTCAGTTGAAAGCTCAAATTTTATCATTGTCAATAAACACTGACAGTTGTTTTCCTTAAAGTGACAGGCTTTTACTTCATTTGTTTTCAAAAAAATAATCTATGAAATATCCAAGTCTGAAAACCATAGCTTTTCTGGTAGTCATTCTTTCAAGTAAAAATAATATTCCATGATAAAAGCAGTTCATAACCCAAACAACTGCCTAAGGGCTTTTCCTCAAGAAAACTCCAGTGTGCATCAGAAGTGCTTAATACGTATTTCCAATTCTGTCACACAGAATATGAAAAAGACATTCTTAAATGGAACTGGAATATTTTCCCCATTACAACTATGTGACAATGATGATTACAATAATTAATAGCATAATTTGGTGCCTCCATCTTGATTTGTGCTAAGGCACCTGCAGTTTTACCTACCCGTTGCTTTGCATCATTAGTATAAATGTCAACTCAGTGAAAAGGGCAAAAAAAACAACACAGTAGCCAAGAGGTAGAAACAACATAAATATCCACGGACAGATGAATAAACAAAATGTGGTGTATACATAAAATGGAATATTATTCAGCCTTAAAAGAGAAGGAAACTTCATCTTATGCTACGATATGGGCAAATCTTGAGGTTATCGTGCTAAGTAAAACAAGCCACTCACAAAAGACAAATACCTAATGGTTCCACTTATATAAGAGTAAAGCAGCCATATTCATCAAAACAGAAAACAGAATAGTGGCTACCAGGAGTTGGCGTGGGGAGGGGAAAAAAAGGAGATGTTGTTCAATGGGCAGAGAATTCAGAATTGCAAGATGAACAAGTTCTGGAGTTTGGTTGAATGACAATGTGAATATAGTTAACACTACTGAACTGTATATTAAAAGTGGTTGAGATGGTAATTTTATGTTATGGGTTTCTTAGCAATTAAAAAAAGAGCAAATAACACCTTAGTAGGTATTACAAAAACAGTTTTGGCCGATTTTGACCTCACAGACACCATGAAAGGGTCTCAGGAACTCCCAAGGGTCAGTAAACACTTTGACAACCGCTGCTCTAACCTTCTTTTTCTCTGGAACATCCACCTGCTTCTCTACCTATCTCTCCCCTTTTCCTTCTTTGGCATGGCTTCCCAGTTCTTAAGAAGTCTCCACTCAACAATGCTGACTCTTGTAATACTCACAATGATTTGGAAAAGGCCTCTTTCTTCTGTTTTAAAATGTGGAGTGTCATTATTCCCTTTAAGCAGTTTGTTTATATTCCAGTATGAGCCCCTAAGACTTCTTTCGTATTTCTTTGTTTGACCTTTGCATTTCTCAAGCGCAAAAACCTTAACCCGCAGTATCTCTGAACTGTCACAGTATTCTTCACGTTTCTCTGACATGTACCAACCAACACTGGCTGGTTTGGTCCAGAGCTCACAATATAGAGCTGTGCGTTTGTTAACTCCTCTATGTCTTTGTTAGCTGTCTAGCTATACATATTCAAAATCAATTGGTCTCCTCAGAAAACTCCAATGGCTTTTTAAAGCATCCTGTCACCCTCCTGGGTTCCTGTCAAGATAAGCAACTCTAAGTTGGGTCCAAGTCAACTTTGCTTTCTCGTCTCTTAGAAGTCTCCCTGTGTGCATTAGTCACAAATGTCAGCTGACCTTTGAACACAAGGGTGAAAGCTAGGACCAGACAGCATTTATGTTACACTTCCCACTTGAGTCTTTGCTTAATGGCTGCAGTCAGCAGGAAGCCTCCATCTTTCTCATCATGCATACAAATGAGTAACTGAAGAACAATTTTCCCCTTTAGGAAGTAATAGCATCGCCTCTTTCTGAAACTTGGATGTCTAATGATCTAACCAGGCTTCTTACAGTTTTCAAACACCTGGGGATCTTCCTCTGTCCAAGCTCCTGACATGAATGG